TGATCTCACTGCACTTCCTGGGGTGAAAAGAACAGGAAGAAGGCATTCCACAGGCCTGTGTCAGGTGCTTCCCCACTTTGCTGAGTCTCCATAGCAATTGGGAACATAGACTTCTAGATTGATTAACATGATCAATAATACTTTTCTGAGTTTGGTGTTGTGCCTCATTTTACATAACAGAGACCCTCAGATGTCTCCTCTGACCATTCAGTCCTCCACCAGGACCCACAGGTCTCTCCTTACTCAGGAGGTTGCTGGCTTCAAACTGAATTAGCATCTGCTTGGGTCATAATGTGACCCCTCAGGACTTCAGAGCTCAGTCTAAGACACTGTGCTCCTGAGAGCAATATTTCTTTCAGAAAGGAGTCTTAGATCCTGGGTATCAAACACTATTTTCCCATATGGGAAAACTTTAACATCCCCCATTTCTACCCCAAGTCAGCCACACACAAGGCCACGAGGGCCATATTTTCAGCAAGGTTCTGGCCCCCTCTTCCACCTCTTAGTGCTAATGTGTTAGGAACCATCCACTGGTCTCTCAGGACAATTTCACATGCCTCACCTGCTCTCTGCAGGGGGAGAGGGATGTAAAGACCAAGGACAGGAACATGATTCTGCTCTAAACCTTGTCTGTCCCCCTCACCCTAGAGCATTCTTTGGACTCATGCTTTGCCTTTCAGGTGCAGGATTTCTGTTCACACACCCCAATCTCACATCAGGCTGTGGGGTCTTCTTGGGGTTTAGGCATAATGGAGTGTCCCATCATGGCCCACCTCTAGGATGGCCTTGAGAACCAAAGGCTCAGAGGACACACATGTGGGTTGAGCCCTGGAGTCCATGCAGCTGGAAGGACTCTGCGTGTCAAGGCCAGCCAGGGCGAGCAAGGACCAGGAGAGACACAGGGTTGCTAACTCCCAGTCCTGGGTCTGTCCAGGCCCAAACTCTGCAATTAAGTGCACCTGTGAGAAACTCTGTGCTTCTCCCACACACAGCCCAGGGGGCCCCACATCATCTGATCCCTCAGATCCTCCTACATCTGCCCAGGATACCCACTCTGCCTGGTTCTTCAGCACTCAGGTTGATGGGAGGTAAGAGGCAGCTCAGGTGGAAAGACAACTTTGTGGGGATCACAGGTACCACCGGGTAATCCTCTCTTTGTTGTCTGCACAGAGAAATTACCCAAACCCAACATCACAATCAACAACTCCCAACCCATGGAGGGTGAGGACCCTCTAGCATTAACGTGTGAACCTGAGTATTATTATGAGATCTACCTGTGGAAAATAAACAATCAGAGGATCTCAGATGGTGGCAGGCTGATGCTATCCAACAACAACAGGATTCTCACTTTATTCAATGTCACAAGGAATGACACAGGACCCTATGAGTGTGAAACCCAGAACCCAGTGAGTGTCAGCCACAGTGACCCACTCACCCTGAGTATTTCCTGTGAGTAACTTCTATTCCTCCATTACCCTGGCTGTGAACTCAAATTCACAGGGCCAGAGGCTGTGCCACTTAGTCCCTCTCGGGTCCAAGTACACAGACCCTCTCTCCTGGGCACCTGGACTGGCTCTGCCATTTTCCCCAGGCACATCCAGGCAGGCCCAGCCTTGGGCCATGAATAGGAGAGGAGGGTTCCCTAGTGAGGCCTGGGGTCAGCCACCTGGGACAGAGAAGCAGGGAAATGTCACACACTAATTTCAGTGAACAAAGGGGTTTGGTTGAGACTTTCTGTGAGTGTGTATGGTGCTGGGATTTGAACCCAGGGCCTCATGCATTCTGGGCGGATGCTGTACCACTGTACTTCCCAGCCTAGTTGCGACTTTTTAAAAAAACAAGGTTGTGACATGGATCAGTAGTTATATTGTGGTCTTCTACAGTCTAGGAACTTCCCCTTCCCTCTGATGACATTACATGTGGCTTTATTCTGTTTGTTCCAGATGGCCCGGATACCCCCATCATAAGCCCCTCAGACTCACATTTCCATCCAGGGACAAATCTCCACCTCTTCTGCCACGCAGACTCTAACCCGCCTGCTCAGTACTCTTGGTCTCTCAATGGGAGGCCCCTGGAATCCACACAGGAGCTCTCAGTCCCCAACCTCTCTACAAATAATAGCGGATCCTATGTGTGTGTCGCCCATAACTCTGTCACTAACCTCAATAGGACCACAACCAAGAAT